ATTCAGAGCAGTCGTTCACAAACACATAAAAAGTTTCAATCGTAAAATTTTAAGAGCAGTTTTCTGCAGCTGATTGAAATGGATATGTACCTATTATTGAGAGATATATTGCCATTATTTTAAGTAAATAGGTAATTACGTAACAAGGGATCTGATTTGGATAAAATTGGTAACGCATTTATCATTTTCCGAATATTACAACGTGGTAGATAAGTGTAGCATCGAGTGTAAATTTTCCTAATTGCATTCTTACGAATTATAATATGGTCTGTCATAACGTAATACTCACATCAACTCACATGCAATAACTAAGGACACTTGAAGTTGTAAAATTTTAATATGTGTAAATGACACATGAGGAGAAGATTTAATTCTTGCTATCAAGATTATATAGTTGATAATTTTATGCAATAGATATTGTTAATTCGACCAAGTCGTCGTACGAAGTTCTTTACTACTGCTAGTACTGCTAGTATAACCCACAGTAAAGGAGTTCTAATCCTTCTTTCCCTACCCCAATCCCTGAATCTCTGATACCCTTATCCCCAAAAGGCGGGCAAAGCACTCGTAACTTGTCCGGTGTTGCGTGTCTCTATGGGCGGCGCCGATTGCTTACCATCAGGTAATCCGTCTGAAGGTTTGGCAACCTACCACATAAAAAAACACGAATGTGTTTAAAAAAAAAATTTACTTATAAACAACAGTACGAGGTTTTTAGTAACTTTCTTTTTTAAGCTGGTTAAACTATTGCATAAACTTGCTTTTCGTGTAATTTTAAGTCGTTCAAAGAGAGAGAGGGTTGCATTCTGGCATTGCATTTATCAAGTTCATCTGTGAAAGTATGTTGTTACGTCTTAAAACGATTTCTCCAAAATGGCTGGACAGGACAGATTTGGCTCATTATTGTTGGTTTTTAAGTGGACACTTAAGTAATGCGTGTAATAAATTTTGATTGTAATCTAATAATGAATAAATAGTGTCCATTAAAATAAGTATTTTCAACAACCTTGATCATGAAAAAGTAAACAAATATGTTAGTCAAGTTGATTCTTATTTTTTACACATGAAAAAATTGTAAATGAAGTAACATACCTATATGTAATTACAATTGACTATTGTTTATTACAGATCACGAGTGTGGAAGTGGTAGAGGCATGCATACGGCGGATTAAAGACGTTAATTCGGCCCTAAACTTCTTCGTCGAAGATCGATTCGAAGCGGCTTTAAAGGAAGCACGCGAGGCCGATGAACTCGTCCGTAGCGGCTCGATGTCGCCCACCCAGTTGGAGCAAGAGAAACCCTTCCTTGGCGTTCCATTTACAACCAAAGACTGCATAGCTGTCAAAGGTACGTTAAGACTGTTGAGTCATAGTATTCATATAAAGAACTAAGTATAAAATTCTGAATATTTCATGGAATTCTTTAGAACGATAAAACCAATGTATGGTTCCATATACATTTTTCTAAATGTCATATGTAACAGGAAATTACAAAAAGGAAAAAAAACCTTAGATACAAAATGCTAAAATTATATATGATTCAATAATATTAGAAGAAGTAGACTGAAGTAAGTAATAGCCATAACAATATTTTATCATTATTTTTATGTGTGATTGTCATTTTATGATCATTTTGATCAATATTAAATTCAAGGATGTCTCGATTTGTAGTATCAAAGTATTTGATGACATTTCAAATCGTGAGTTCAATGACTCGATTCTTACATCTGACAATGATTGCCAGTACAACGAATTATATAGAAATCAAAAAGAGGTCACTTAAAAGATGTTATGTCACATTGTATGTCCATCAATAAGTAATTGGTGTAGGTACGTCAGAGTAGATAGGTTTTTGCGTGTATAGAAATGTGTAACTGTTCCCTGTAATTGATGCACTACAGTTCTATTATTTAAACAGACGATAGACAATTTTATTTAACGTTGGGTTGTAATTCCATTGCATAAGATGCCATTGCATTAATTAACCTCATTCTCGGGCGTACTTCATATTATTTTCAAATCCAATTCAGTTTTTCTATGTTCTTATTTCATATCTATATTGTACGAACTAGTAGTCTTATAATATGGTGTGATTATGGATATTATTGCAAAATTAAACTGGGGGATTTTTCCCGACTGGATATTTATATTTTACGCTAATATTTTCTGGACGTTTACGTAACTTTGACGTGTAAAAGTGATGTTTTATGGCCAATTCACTATTTCAAACCACAAAATTTTGGTAGGATTGTAAACATACAAAATTTAGAACCAATATGATTAATGTTTCTAAAAATAAAACATTCAACAGCCATATAAAAAGTGACTAACAAAGCGTGACAATTTTTATTATAGGTAAATAACATGATAGGTAATTAAATGTTACTCATTGTATGAAGTAATTACAGCTAATGGCAGTCCAATGTACAGATATGAGGCTATCGTTTTATTATGTAAAGCTGATTCTAAATATGAATTAGCTTCTGTACATATTCGAGTTATGTACTTTTTAAGATTATTAAGACAGACTAAATTTAGAAATTTGGAATCATAAGTTTGAAATCGCCTATCCTGTAGAGAGATCTTCTCCGTGTGAGACGAGGCCTTTGCTCAGCAGTGGGCATTTATTGGCTGGTAATATGCTAAATCGTACTGTACATATTTATCTATGTCTAGTTACTGGCACTTCTTCTTAGTTCACCTTGTAACTTTGGAAAATTACTGAAGAACATTAGTTAATTTTGTATTCAATGATTACAGGGTTGCATCAAACAGCCGGTGTGGTACTTCGCAAAGATGTTATCGCGGATAAGGACTGCGATGTGATCATGCTGTTAAGACAGAATGGTGCCATCATCTTAGGTCTCACGAATGTTCCTGAATTGTGCATGTGGTGAGTTAATTTTAACAAATATCTTTACATACTTTTCATAATACCTACGTACTTAAGTGATACGCAGCTAAGCAAAAGGAAGCATACATACGAAGATTACCAAGATAGTTTCTGAAAGGTTGTATTAAAAAAATATTAAACAGACCCTTATCGGTTTGTAAGGCACAATGGCTGATCTCTCCAAAAAGTTTCAAGAACATAGTTTTTCTATGTGTATTTAGACTATTAAGTAATTCGGTAATATATAGATAGCACTTTTAATTCTTATACCGGTCAAATTTTAAGCCGTATATTATCAATTTTACAGGTGGGAAACCCATAATCACATCCATGGCAGAACGAACAACGCTTACAATACCACAAGAATGGTTGGCGGTTCATCTGGCGGGGAGGGATGCTGCCAATCAGCTGCGGGAAGTGTCTTCGGAATAGGTATACATTGCAATAAATATAGATATATTTTAGTTTAATACGCCGAAGTTCATTAACACTTAAATGGAAGGCATTACAGCGAATGTGATAAATCTTAGGTATAGCGATGGAATATTTTTTATTTCAATATGAAAATGAATTATTTGAATGTTACTATGGTCATCATCCCCGAGAATAGAACGGAATCAAACAAGCGTCTAAGTCGCTCAAGCACTGGCTTTCCACCGGCCTTTAGGAGCTCCGTTGTAATTCCATCCTCTCCGGGGGCTTTTCCATTTTTAAGCAGCTTCAAAGCCAACGCAATCTCGTCTTGGCTGATCTCTGGCATGTCTTCGGTAAAGTGGCGGATAAGTGTGGCCCTAGGATCCCCCGAGTCTGGATATGGACGCGGTGCTTTTGAGGTGTACAGATCACCGTAGAAGCGCCGAACTTCCCCGAGAATTTCCGGCTTAGAAGAGACGATATTACCATCCGGTGTGGTCAACTTCGTCAGATGGCTTCGATTTAATTGCTGGCTGAAGACTTTTGACCCCCGGTTTCGCTCAATCGCTTCTTTTATAGCGCGAGTATTGGCGCTTCGGAGATCACGTCTTATCAGCTTTGAGATCTTTTTATTGAGATCTGACGAAGCGACTGATGGGTTGTTACGTCGCCTCTCCATAACCTGTAGGCACTCTCCCGAAAGCTTGGCGCCCCTGCCGGTATTCTGCTTCCGCCATAATCTCGTCCCTTCGTCTCGGAGGATCCCTACTGTTTGGTCAAGTTCCTGGTCGATATCAATGTCATTTGTGGTTTCCAAGGCAGCAAATCGGTTTTCCAGTTTTAACTGAAATGTTTCAGACCCAACCACGGCTTGGAGCAAGTTTGGTCGGAGCGTAGACTTCATGAGACGGACACGCTCGGAGTCATATTTGATGTTTAGAGTGCCTCGCACAAGTCGGTGATCACTTCCGGTATTAAACCTATTGATCACTGAGACATCACAAATAAGATTGCGAAAAGTCCAAATTGTATAATATATTCTTTTAACTTAACCAATACACCTAAGGAAACGAAAGAACCTTCAATTACCTACTTACGTTGAACTTGACCAAGTTGGTGTCACCTCAGTCGAAGGCCGCCATCAAGGATAAGTTCAAACATTCAACCATGAGTTCTCTTTGAGACCAATTCATAACTACTACAGACTACACAGAAACATTTACCTACCTAGATCTCTCTTTTTCAAGTTTTTACTCTGCTATTTATAAATATTCCGTCAGCGCAATCCAATGTATGTTTATTTTATTCGCGTTTTTACGATACTAATTTCACTAATGTGTTTCTATATAATTATTTAGAAACTTTATCTTTGAATGTCGAATCAATACATATGTTTATTATGCTTACGTTATTATTCGATATTTATATGAAGAATAATGTGTCTTAATCATCTTTTTGTAATTTAAGGTTCTGACATCGGTGGTTCGATACGCATGCCAGCTTACTTCAACGGAATTTTCGGTCACAAGCCAACACGAAACACCGTCTCAAATGAAGGACAGTATCCCGTTCCGGAGTCCGATTTGCTGAATTCATTTCTGGGTAAGAATTTCAATAGAATTATGTTATAGTTTTGCTTCTTTATGCAGTACGCCTTATAATAATTAAGACCAACAGATATTCACAAAAATATATTGCTTTTTCCAGGTATTGGTCCAATGACCAGACATGCGGTGGACTTGAAGCCCATCATGAAAATTATAGCAGGACACAACGCTAAGAAACTAAACCTAGATGAGCCTGTCGATATTAAAAAACTCAGGTATTTCTATCAGTTTAGCACAGGTGGTCCGTTGGTGGACGCTGTTGATCCAGAAATTATAGCGGCCATGAAAAAGGTCACAGAATTCTTTAAAAAACAGTATCAAATAGAAGCGCAGGAGAAGAAGATACCATTACTGCGCAAATCAATGGCCATTTGGTTCGCAAACATGAAAAGTACGAAAAGGTTTGGTGAATTTATTATGCCCAACGACAGCATAGGTAGGATATTGTTTGAGATGGTGAAAAATGCATTTGGACTTTCTGGCAACACATTCATTGGGCTTTTTACGGCTCTCTTCGACTACGGAGGTGCTGAGGTTGGAAGCGAGAGATACAAGCATTATTTGAAACTTCGTGATGAGTTAGAGATGATATTTGTTAATCTGCTGGGCGATGACGGCGTATTCTTCTTCCCAACTCATCCGACAACCGCACCGTTACACAACGAACCACTCGTCCGACCCTTCAACTTCTGTTACACTGCCATCATTAACTGTTTAGGATTACCATCAACGACGGTGCCATTAGGCCTAAGTAGGGAAGGTTTACCAATTGGAATCCAAGTGATAGCCAATCACAACCAAGATAGATTATGTTTTGCCGTAGCTGAGGAATTAAACCAAGCTTTTGGAGGTTGGGTTGAACCCCAAAAATCGTAAATAATCATTTTCGTAAAGCATTACATTTTATTAACGCTAAGTGCATGTCACAATATTTTTTGTAATATTTAACATATTTCTATATTGCCTTAAATGTTATTTGTAGTGAGATTTAATTTATAATGATATTTTATTAATAATCTTATTTATGTGAGATCTTTTTAGATGTGTGGTGGCATTGAGACACGAACGACTATGGGTGGTACAAGGATTTTTACTACTTAGTGATGAATTACTGTTCTCTTTCCATAAAAAAGTGTACCTTTACTTAATAAGAAACATGGTTTCACAGACATGGTTTCGTTTTGATAATAATTTTATCTAAGTTACTACCTACTTGTAAAATAGAAGAAGCTAATCATGATCTTATATTTGTTACTAATGTATTTTTTACGAAAAACTCAAAGTGTATTTAAAGCTGAAATTGTTAAATCAGTAACTACTTATTTGAATGAAACGAATGACAAAATATTCCTTTTGATATGTATTAGATCGTACCTGAGTACCTACTGGGAAATATCTGCTTAGCCTACTAAATACGAAAGGCAAAATGTAATAAAATCATTTTCAATACATTCATGACTATTATTTGGTATGGTTCCCAGTGACTATTGTCTGATTAAAAACCTTTTACATGCATAACAGTTAGTTATCTAGAGAAGTTAGCTGTACCTACACTAACCCCCAAAGAATCTTCGATTTCCGTAAGATAAAAGGCTTTTTTGCGTTCCTTCCCATCCCCAATTCAAATAAAATCGATGCTTTTTCTCTCAGTGATCAATATACATATATGTTGTATAACGCCACAAATATCACAAATTGTTGATTTCTAGGGCCTAGGTTTGGATGTGACCATCTTCGTAAGGGTGCAGTTCCATTGAGGCGGAGCGGAGTAGAGCGGAGAAGAGCTATGCCGCGATTCACCAATCACATGGTTCACGTAACGCAATTAGTTTCATCTGGACAAACTAATACTAATAATAGTACCTAAATAAAAATCTAATAGTGGACTATTATTTAAAGTTACTAATTTTTGACAGTAACCCAGCCAGTCTCTACTTGCTACCCTTGTAGCAAGTCATGAAAGACAGGAGGCTCTTTGTCTTTAAAGACCACAGTGAGCAGTTTTAAAATTGGAACCTCTCAGTAGATACCTATAGCCCCATTATATGAAGTAGCTTTCAGATTGTACCTACATATACTGTCATCCAGCAATATTATTGTTTATGCATGGGCAGATTATAAATGGCGTCTTACCAAATCTTATTTTCGATTTTTATATTGCCTAAGATAAACAGCGACAGCCAGTTCTATTTATAACGATTTCAGTAATCTCCAACTAATCTAAAACATCTGAATGCTTCAGATATTTAGGCACTCAAATGATGAGTAAAAATCATAGAGCACAATAATGTCAAGGTAATATCATCAAAACAACACAGATTAAAAATACACATCGAAAATTTCAAATGAGAGCATTTTCTCCAGAAAAAAAATGGCCAAACATAATCGATTAGAATTTTAATAAATTAGTCTCAACAAAAGCATTGTCTATTACTCTATTGTACAACATTTATGTAACATTTTTTATTCAGATTCAGCGAGTTTATGGACTAGATTTAATATTTCTTTCCTCTTAGCAGAGGGGCTGATCTTGTCGAGCATTTCACAGCTAGCAATCTGTCCCGTTTGATGTGCATGGTGAGCAAGCCTTTCAGCGTTGCACAAGACATAAACACCACAGTCATAACCATTGCTCTGTTGCAAACAATCTTTAGTCACAAAATTGATGTTACCTGAAATGAGTTCCCAGTATTAGAAAAATTTATGAAAATGTTTTCTTAATTGCAGAATTACACTTTTATATGCCAAAAGAGATCCGATTATATGAATAGGTGGTTTATTGATCTTTTTGTTTATTTGAATTTAGAAAAACAATGACAATATTGTGTTTTATTACTTACCCTTAGATAGATAAGGTATTAGATGACTAGCAAGTTCCCAAGCAGCTTTATGATTGGTCACATATGAAGAATCCAAATGGTAAAAACAGGCTTCCGGTTTTGAATAAACAAGAAGACTCCAGTGTGAGCCACCGGCCATATCAGGTGTATCATTGTCATTTAGTGCAAAGAACACAAATTGTTTCTTACTTACTTCAAGAGGTTCTAGAAATGTTGCTATTTCATCTGTTTGAACCATCTTTATACATTGTGTCACTTCTGGTGATACAAACAATAGTTCTTTAGCATTTTTGAATGTCTTTTTCTCTAAGTATTCAAAGTAAAATGATATTATAGTATCATTCAGCCAGTATGGTCCATTCAAAAGATGAATATCTGACTGATGAAGTAATATACTATGGAAGCTCAACACAATTGAAGATTTGGCCATTTTCAATATATGTATTAGGCACAACTTACGACGTCCAACATTCAAGCCCTTAACACTATGATGATATTGATCTGGTAAGCAAGAAAAATTTAACCAAAATAAAATATTTGTATAGTTAAACAAAATAACAAATTCACATGTCTGTCAACCTTGATTCGTAGTTTTATAATTTTGACGAAATATAATGTTAGGAAGTAACAAATTTCTTGTTTTATTTAAGTACTTACAAAAAAGTCTTTATTGAACTAATAAACACATTAAAACACATAACTTAATTTTGCTCCGTAATAAATGGTTCCCGTATAAAACATACAATAAATTGGTAATAATATAACTAAATTGGTCACATAAAAAAACTGGTCGACGTTCACATGCAATTTATTACATATTTGGTCACAAGAAATATAAATGAACTCACCTCAAAGGTTGATAAAGTACGAAAGCATTTATAAGAATCACGTTTTAAATAATTTAGATTTCACTAATATTTTTAATTACTGATTTTCCATACTGTTTTGCTGATTTATTCGACAAATAATTATTACTACGACGGCCGTACGCAATCGTTCAATTCATTGCGATTTTGTCAATGTCATATGTCAATTGTCAATGCCAAAGTAAGAAAATAACAAATGTCATTGATGTCAAAGTCACATAAGTAAAAGTTTCGTTTAGTTATTGGTTTAACGGTGAATTTTCACTGTTAAGATAACTTTTTTTTTACACTAAGCTTTCATCATCATCATCATCATCAGCCCTTTTCAGTCCACTGCTGGACATAGGCCTCTCCTATTGCACGCCACTGGGATCGATCTTCGGCCACTCGCATCCAGCTCCTGTCAGCCATCTTGCGCAAATCATCACTCCACCTTGCCTGAGGACGTCCTACATTACGTTTGCCGAGACGCGGTCTCCACTCAAGAACTCGTCTACTCCAACGGTCATCGGTTCTTCGGCTAATATGGCCAGCCCACTGCCATTTCAGCTTGCTAATCCGGTGGGCTATGTCGATTACCTTGCTAAGCTTTATAAAGATTAAAATACCTACTTAAAAATCAGCGTAAGAAATAATTGTATTTCTAAAGAACTTGGCCAATGTATACAATGTTGCCATATAATAAATAACAATTATCCTTAGAATGCGATTTTAGTGTAAAGATCGAAATTAGGACTTTCATTCTTAACACCTACCCTTAAATATACCTAATCAGCAAATATAGTTACTTCTTTTATTTTTAACTACAAATATGTTACGTGCTCTACCGTGGGGCAAAAGCATAAAAGCATATCTGTCTACCCTAGTTGCACTACCAACTGAGGATTGATAAAAAATAGTAGGTAGAGTGTAGTACCAATGGTAAATCATTCTTATGATAATCAGTTTAAATCTGTTAGTGTCATGATTACTAAGCAAGCTTGAGGTACCTTTATAGTCCATTTTCATGACATGCAATGCCGTTTGGTGATTGGTTCCTTATCTATCATAGAGTGGCACCATACCTAGACTACCTATTCGAAAGACAGTTCATGTATTGATTGAACTAGATACCAACGTCCCGATGGCTTCGTCTAACGTAATCGAATGCATTACGTCATATTGTTAAGCATCTTACCAGTCATTTTTCTAATTTATCCTGATGTCGCGTTGGTCTTAAAATTAATGTAAAAAAGTAAAAACAATAATGAATAACTAAGAAATAAAATTAAAAAACAAAAAATAATTAGTTAAAATTATTTATTAAATAATTTCATTTAACTATAAATAATAATTGGTAACAATTATCAGAAATAGTCATCACACATTGGTACTTAGGCGATTTGAAGAAAATAAATAGTGATTCGTGACACATTCACAAATGAAAAGCTTTAGGGGGCGTCTAGTTAATAATTTAATAACAGTAATCCACTCATAACATCAAAGAGTATACAGATTGTAATACACTCCACACTGTAACTTGTACTCACATAATTGTATATAACAGCTAAGAATATGACATGTGATCTATATACTAAAGTGTATCACGCAACTTAATATTGCTAAATACGATTGATGATACTGATTGGGCTAAAAAATAAGAAGTATATTCCAAATAAACTGGAAAATGCCTCTTATTTTAAACGAAATTTGTCCTATGTCTTCATAAATTTACTTAGTAGCTTCTTTTAGGTAGGCGATGAGGTCTGCGCGTTCATTGGGCTTCTTCAAACCGGCGAACACCATCTTGGTACCAGGGATGTACTTCTTGGGGTTCTCCAAGTATTCGAAGAGGGTGTCCTCACCCCATGAGATACCTATAAAAATGTGACATAATTTTTGTTACTGTCGTAATTATTGACAAATTATTTAAAAAATATCTTTGGAGCCTGATAAGTGATAAGTAATCTACATTTGATATAAATAACAGACCGTCCTGATTGAACATTGCACACGTGGCGCGATATTTACGCCTCTACAGTAAATAACAAGTGGTAGTCATTAGAACTTTGGACGTGACATCATCAATTGAGTAGTTAGGAGAACAATGCGGTAGTTTGATACACAGTGTGATTTATAGATAAGTAGGGTTTAAAAAATAAAACTACTAAGCATACTGAAATAGTGATTGAACATGATTGATTTTATGATAATGTACTGATTTCATTATCTCATAATACATTAGCTCAAAGAAACAGGATGAGGTGTGGTTGGATTTTATAAAATAATGAAGTTGGATTTTGTTAAAAATAAGTTACTCACCTTTGGACTTGTTGGCATCTGAGTATGAGAAGCCGGCAGCCTGGCCAGTCTTGCGACCCCAGAAACCGTGTAGGTTAGGACCTACTTTGTGTTTGCCGCCAGCTTCAACCTGAAATATACAAAAAAAAAAAAATATTACTATAGAACCTTCTAGGCTTTTCCTTGTGACATAATCATTTATTATGTAAGAATCACTTGATAAATTACTAGTGAACACAATATAGGTTCTAGAAAATTCTGCTGCCAATTTTTTTATGTAATAAATGGCCAGAGTATTTTTCCTGTGTACACTTTTGGGATTTTAATAAAATAACACATGAATGAGTGGAAGTTTAACAACCAACTCAACTTCTATCACAATGACATAAAGTTCAAATACAAATGACTCATTTCATAAGGAAAGGTAAATTCTATTTTAGTGTTTGTATTTACCTAAATACAAGTAAGCAACAGGAAAATTTAAGTTTTTGCTAACATTGTTTCAAGTTTGTTAATCTTTAGGAAAATGAAATTTCATCAGTAGTGCCAGAAATAAAATTTCAATGTCATGAATGACAATGGCCAATGTCATTGCTGACAATTGATGGTGTTCAAGGAATGCTGATACGGATAAAGATACCTAAGTAGGTAAGTACTTACAGTGTGGCACTGGGCACATCTTTGGACAAAGATTTTCTTGCCGTTTTCAGCGTTTCCTGCAGGGATACCCATGGTACTGGAAAGAGCAAACGGTAAAAAAGATTACAAAACTATAAGTACTAACTTTAAATTTGTAAATTCAAATAAGGAACACAGATCATGATTTTTATAGGTTATGTTCAGATCATGATGACTCCAAGGTCATGACTGACGGTGGATATTTCCTTTAACAATTACCTAGCTGTTTTCACGATTTGGGTGATATATTAACTTTAATAAAAACAGTAAACTTAATATTTAAAATAAGTTAGGTAACACGGAAAAATAGGAGGGAATATCCACTGTGTCAGCAAGTCGAGAAATAAGCAATTTGAAATTATCTGTAAAAATACAGTAAGGATAAAAAAACATAGATTTAAACAATAATGGTTATTAATAAATGCTGGTCTGGAATTTACTATTCGAAACTAGGTCAGGATCAATGTCAGCGGGGAGTTCCAAGGCACAAGGTGTCGTAATGTCATGTTACGTAAGTGGTTGAAATACTAAATATACACCAAATCGCTACGATATTATGTTCTATAACCATCATAATAATGTACCTGTACTTTTATTATTGCAATAATTGCTTATTGAAAACTTAAAATCATAAAACACTTGTTCCATGAAAATATTAACGAAGGTGTAACACAAAAATCAATAGGCGTGTTAATTTCAAAAATGAATGATAGACATCAATAGCTTAAATACAACAAGAATTTACTTACGATTTTTGTGTTAAGTAAGATTACCGCGACGTTCGCTCACCACAATTTAGACTATTTCAATGACGAAAATGAATACGTGAAGTCGTGACAGCAACGTGCGTGCACACTCACACGGCAACGAATGAATGAACTAGAGAATAATGTTGCCAGTTGCCATTACTTTGCTCAATATGCCCGCGCAAATCGATACGTAAGCAAGTTTCTACGTTATCTGTGACGTTTAAACGGGTCCAACCTAAAGGTCCACATACAATAATCTATTTATTGAATAAATAGATTAGATAGAAAATTGATTAAAAAGATTGATATGGGGCAAAATTTATCTAAAATAATTTACTTAACAAAAGTGCCTGTAAATTGTACCTACTATTATACCTATGCATGTAGTGAGAAATTAATAAGAAGTTGTATTTTATCTTGTTCTATATTATTTGAAAGATCGTAGTAGCAAAATTACAATATTTAACGAGTAAAGTACCCTAGTACCTACTTATTAATTTTAGGTGTTTGTTTTAAAACAGTTTTCACTGCCCCTGTTGTATCTATACCTACTTCTATACTAATATTATAAAGAGGTAAAATTTGTAAGTTTCTATGTAAGGCGTAACCTTTGGAACCCTTGGTCGGATTTCAAAAATTCTTTTACTAATTGATAGCTGCAATGTTTCCGAGTGCTATAGGCAATTAAACATCACGCTACAAACAAATGGAGCCGAGCAGCGAGTGAAACCGCGCGGGAGTAGCTAGTTTAAAATAAAAGTCGTACTTATAACTATATTATCTTGTGGTATTCACCGATTTGTGATTTGTTTATGTCATGCTAGCCAGGAGTTTTTCTTTTTAAGCTACTTAATTAATTAGTCGCTTCGATTTCAGGCTAAAAGTTATCATAGAAAATGTTAGTGTTAGATTATATGAGGTATCCTTAAGATAATACGCTGGTAACAGTTTACCCAGTTGAGAAGGCACTTATCCCCACAGGACATTACGATATTATCTATAG